TATTTTCGCTTCTTCTCATTTTCATGAATCCTGTAAATCTGTTTGGGGCTAAGATCTCTGTATGAGTCTGCATTGGGATGACACACCCTTATATTGAAAAAGCAGCCCTCTGTTGCTCCCAGAAACCCCTACAGTGGACGTCGAGGCGTGCGTCAGGGGCTTGAGTAATCCCCCTGGGAAATTCTTCGCCTGTAATAGGTTGTAAAGCCGGTTCCACTTGCACATCGTAACAACCATGTCGAGCAGCTCGGCCTGCAGATCGCGTATTTCATTGTGACGCTGAATGACTAAGCCTCTACGATGGCAGATCATCGCGTGATCCACTGTATGGTCAGTAATTGATGTAAAAATCCCTTTTCTAACTTAAGGCAAAACAGAAACATAAATATAGCATTTCTGTTTTGTCGATTGAATTTTACCGGCGCTTTTAAATTGGATTCATATTAGTCGTCTTTCAAGACTGTTGTAGGCAGCCTTATGAAGTTTTTTTTTTTATCAGCTTACAAGCATTTTATTTGATTCAAGATATTCCTTTGCGCTCTTTACATATCCAACGTACATATTTCATTGATCCAGCTACTACATTTTTTCTATTTGACATCCACATTATATTTTCTATTTCATAGTTTGTTTTGTGTATTGATTGCGTAACCACTCTGGTCTACGTGATTATATACGCGAGCGCTCTGATTAGCCGATGATTACGTCATATTTCGCTAGAATCACCTCGCGCGGAAGTGATAAACGCGATTGAAGAAAATCCAATTACGAAGAGCACAAAAGATGCTACTGACTTTGGCAGAGCAGCCTTTAAAAGAAATGTATCACATTTTTGCTGATTGAATTAATAACCCTTTTGAAACTGTTTGCTTACATATCTTGATACGAGTAATCAGCACAACTGCAACAAAAATGTGCAAAGCTTTCCTCATTTACAGAACTTACAACATAATTCGAAAGCTCATAGACAATTATACTAAAACAATTATTCGCCTCAGGTTCAGTGAGGCAGTTCTTCACAAAACCCCTATTCCTGAATTATTATTTGTCTATATCAGTGGCAAACTAAGAAACTAAAGCTGAAACAGAACTTGCCTCTAAGCCGATTAAGCTCCTGTAATTGCTCTTTGGCAGCTTGCTTTGACCTCTCAAATTCTCTTGTTAGCTCTTTTATATCCCTCTCCATTGATTCTTTGAGACCAAAAATTGAAGGGGTACAAATTTCAATAAAACATAGTCAAAAACCATAATTAGTTGACAGTCAAATTATTTTTGCAACTTATGACAAAATATAGAAAAGACATATCCATATGGTTGGTTAAATCTTACTGGTGTTTCTGATATAGACGAAGAGTCAAATTAGTCATCGTTTTCAGGTACTAGTATCCAGACACAAACTGTTTTAAAGCCCTCACGAAGCGGCTGGAGCACGTAAAAGGTGTAGGGAGAAACACGAGACGTAGTCGAGTGCTTCTCCCCACTTCTTGAGTCTGTGTCTTGAGGTTTTAAACGAGATGTTGATGATAATTCCCAAGTGAGCCAGAAAGCTTCTGCTCTGTTAAACGAGCCGGTATTGAGTAAAAGACAATGAGAACTTATCTTACCTGCAATATTTTGCAGCTCTTTTAAACGTTCTTTTAAGACATGCTTACATATATTGAACTCAGTCTTCAGTCCAATAAACTCTTCTTCTGAGGCTAAAATAAGTTTGATAAGTTAGATGCAAGACTGAATTTCAACTGTAAGAAGATTATAGGCTAATGTTTCTAAAGAAACTGTGGTGCTGCGTCGGTGGGGGTAACAAGGTAATTGGTTATATCAACTAAGTTGAAATAGTAAATTGGCCACCGTAACGATTACAAAAGCTGACGTTTCGAGCGTTAGCCCTTCGTCGGAGCGAAGGACGAAGGGCTAACGCTCGAAACGTCAGCTTTTTTATTCGTTACGGTGGCCAATTTACTATTTCAACTTAGTTGATATAACCAATTACCTTGTAAGAAGAGTATAGTTTGTCTATGATTATTGTGACAAAGAGCTGGGTGAAAATAAGATCACGATAATTTGAGCACGGAGAAAATGGACAAATCGTCGCAAATAAATGCCTAGGGAAATCGTGCGGAGTAAGTATCTCGTGATTTAATTGCGCTGGCCAGAGACTGCCTCGATGTAAAGCAAGTGTCATTCAGCTATTCTAAAATGGATAATTTGGCAAATCGTTGGGTGGAGATAGACACTAAGGAAGTATGTTCTTCTCAAAGTACATCATATACATAGAATATAATAAATATAATCGAATATAATAGAATAAATATAATATAATAGAATACATGCTTGAAAAGAAAATTGCCCTGAGCGGGATTTGAACCCAAGTCCCCCTGTTGTTAGTCAGGTGTGATGACCATTACACTATTAGGACAACCATGCTGGTAACACGGCAATCGAGGATGTGATTTACGTGATCGGAGACGTGGTCTCACGGGAAACTTAATTCTCAAGGTGACAAGGTGGGGAAAGCCTATAACCCCATATGAAACCCAACTAAGGATCTATTGAAGATACACGACCGAAGTCAACTTAGTGGACGACAAAGTAGGATCCAATTACGGATACAGGCTAATTTCAATTAAACAAATTCTGTGTACGAGGGAAACCCTGACCCTGTACACCCCAAGTAATCATACTTAAATAGAATAAATGTTTGAAAAGAAAATTGCCCTGAGCGGGATTTGAACCCACGTTAAAATTAAGTTTCCCGGGAGACCACGTCTCCGATCACGTAAATCACATCTTCGATTGCCGTGTTGCCAGCATGGTTGTCCTGATAGTGTAGTGGTCATCACACCTGACTAGTAACAGGGGGACGTGGGTTCAAATCCCGCTCAGGGCAAATTTTCTTTTCAAACATTTATTCTATTTAAGTATGATTACTTGGGGTGTACAGGGTCAGGGTTTCCCTCGTATACTGAATATATAAAACAAAAAAAAAACAAACAAAGTCAATATCCGAGAAAAAACCTCTCAAAATTGAAAATTATCTCAACCCCAACCC